GAAGGACACTCTAACCGACCGAGCTACCCGGCAAGGGCTTATCAGTGGTTCTCAACCTTCCTAATGCCGCGACCCTTTAATACAGTTCCTCATGTTGCGGTGACCCCCAATTTCATTGTTACAAATTGAACATAATTAAAGCATAGTGATTAATCACAAAAACAATATGTAATTATATATGTGTTTACCGATGGTCTTAGGCGACCCCTGTGAAAGGGTCGTTTGACCCCCAAAGGGGTCGCGACCCACAGGTTGAGAACCGCTGGCTTAGATTCTTTTGAAAAAATAATGTACGCTTATTAATTTTCCACCCCCAAAATAATAAAGATAATAGTTTTAAAAAGCAAAAAGCCCTCCGCCCAGGATTGAACAATATGGCGCATGGAGAATGCCCAGCAGGAGGTCTAGCACATAGTCAGTGAAGGGAGACTGTTACCATTATTGCTGGACTGGCAGCTGATATGGAGGAAGACTGCTCGACTGTAAAACCCTGGATGGGCGAGGTCGAGTTCTGCCGTTTGAATTCCCAAGGTCAGCTGATTCCTCGAGTGTAGGATCTTGGTTGTCTGGTGGGGCCCAGATCTGGGCATGAGTCCTTATGCCCCATGGACTTTCGCTGGCCTTGGGTGAAAGAGACAAGACCTACACACGGGTCAGGTGTGCCCAGCACACATGCACCCCTCTCTACCCCTCTTCTCATTCTCCTTTGAGAATAAAAACATTGTCTACCTCCCCTTGAAGGGAGGGGGAGCGGCCTGCCCAGTTGTGACGCCTGTCCTAAGGGACCCGGGACTGTCCTGGGCAAGGTGGGGCCGTAGGCTTTCCGTCATTCCTGGGCTTAGATTTGGACCTCGAGCAAGGATGAGCCTCTCTAGGCCCAGCTTCTTCACCTGTCAGATGAGGATGGTGCGCCTCCCTTTTTCACTTACATGCCATAACCTGTTCTCTTCCTTGTTCCTGCTGCATAAAGGATTGGAGAAGAATTTTTTTGAGGTTGTATCTATGGGTCATCGTATAAGGCTTGCCTTTCATCTGCCTGTGAAGTAGATGGAATGAACATGAAAAAAGAGAAAACTATTTTTTGGGTTTTTGTTTCCTCTTTAGATCTGATTTTTAAACGATTTGTTGCTTTCCGGTACTCTCTCTGGAGAGTGTTTTCTTGTGGGTGAGACAATGTCGTTTTCCAGGGGCATGATTTACAGCGGGTGCCATTCATGCAGGTGTGCAGGGACCTCTTGGTCTTGCCTGTTGTGCTGGGAGTCGGTCAGAGAGGCCATGTTTGTTCTTAAGTATATGGTCACCTCAACTGCTGTCTCCCGCCGGCAGGCCTGGGACTGATTGAGGATTAACAAAATGGTGTGGCTTAGCTTACATTTTCCAGGATCCCGCGCATGTGTATGGAGCCCTCTTACCATATGTTCAATGCGTATGACTGGTCTGCTGTATGATCAGCTACCGTTTATAGCTTGCACTTGATTGTGAGTCCCTGTGTCAGTTTTGTTTCCTGGTTCTCTTGCTACTTCATTTTAGTTTGTTTCTATAATATTAAAAGTTCTGGGGTTTCCCCCCTAACCTTCTCAGCGCCCCTAATTGTTGTCAGGTATTTAAATAAATAAGAGAGAAAGGAAATTAGATTTGAGAGCATGTTGCTTGTCAGACGTCTTGCTAGACATTTTACAGACCTTCACATTTAATATTAAGTAAGCAGCGTAATGAAATAAACTGCTGGGAGGGAGCAGCCTGCCCGGCTGAGAAGCAAAAGACCTGATTTCAGCCTTTGTTTTGTTACTAAGAAGATTTGTTACCTTGACAGATTATTTCCTTCTCTGGGCTTCTGCTTCCTGGTCTGTAAAATGGGGAAAGAGTGGTGGTGAGGTGAGGTTCCTTCTGGCGCTAAGATTTGACAGCTCCTCTTTATGATCGCCTTCATGTGACACTCAGCATATCTCTTGTAATTGCGTTGAATACTGACAAAGGATTAAAAAGCTTAACCTACTCTTAAGACTTAAGAAGCTTACATTTTCTCTAAAATAACTCAAATTACCCAAAAATAATTTTTATCTTTTCTTTCCCCCAAACAACTTCAGTGACTATTGGAGGGAAATCGATGCACCTCTATGCTGTGCTCTCAAATGTGATGAGTTTAATAGGACTAGTTACCTTAGGGAACACAATACTTCATTTTTGTGTTAAAATACAGGTCATTGTGAGAACTTCCTGAGTGCTGAGCCAACAATAACATGTTAAGTATTTCTGAGACGAGCGGAGCAGGAAAGGAAACCTTTGGGCACTGTAGCAACAGAAAGACCAAGGGAAAGACGATCTGCCGGGCGAGTCCCATTTTCTCTCCTTTCTGGGTGGAAACAGGCAGGGCTTTCAGCTTGGCACAGGCGGGCTGCCTTGTGTTTGCGAGGCTCCTGGCCCTGGGAGTGGAGGGAAGGAGGGGCTCGCCGCAGCCGGGCAGCCCCGCTGCCCATGCTCCCGTGGAACTGGGGACTGAACAGGTGTTCTGCCGACCTTTCCTCCCTCCCCGCCCCCTTTGGTTTTGTTTTCATTTTGTGCAGGTAGAGGGCTGGTCAAGGCCTGGGAGGCAGGGTGGTGTGCTGGGCCGTGTTCATGTCTGAACTCAGCTACCCAGTAACTGTGGTGCCTCCATTTTTATGCCTCAGGTTTCCCATTTGTGAAATGCTAATGATTTTAGTACTTAAATTCATTTTGGTTTCAAGTGGCAGGAACCAACTCTTATATCTCACATCTGAGAAAAGAGAGGATCTATGGGAAGGACAGGGAGGGAAAGCTGAACAACTGAGTCTTCCGGTGGAGCAGGGCCTGGGGCAGCGCTGGGGGGACTGGCAGCGGGCGTGGCAGGCCTCCTTTCCACAGCCCCTGTCTCTCACAGCCCACACGCCCTCCATCAGCCAGTCCCGTCAGAGCCTCCACAGCCTGCCCAGCCTCCGTTCTGCACGGCCTCTGGGAGTCTCACTGCCTCCTGGGTGCTTCCCCTGTTCAACCTCCTAGGGTCTCCCTGCTTCTGTGCTCTTCCCTCAGCCCGCTCTCCACAAAGCAGCCAGAGTGAGCCCTCGAGTCCTTGTGCTAAAACACGCCCTTCCTGGCTGAGAATCGCCAGGGCTTCCAGGCTCCTCTGAGCAAAAGCCAATTGGAAGTTTACCTCTCAACTCCTATTGTTCCCCCCTTGATCTCTGCGCCAGCTGAGCTGACTCCTATGGATTCTGCATCTTACCAGGCATTCCTCTGCCTCAGGGCCTTTGCCCTAGCCCCCCCTGCCTCCGTGTTCCTCCTCCAAGCTGCCTGCCGGCTCCCTGCCACCTCCTTCAGCGAGGCCTGTCCTAACCGCCTTATTTAAAATTAAAGGTGTCCTGTCCCCATGTTTTGTTTTTGCCTGCTTTGTTTTTCTCCATCACCACCCATCAGACTGTATGTTCCCCCTACTTACTTTGTCTCTTTCCCCAGACTATAATCAAAGCAAACTGCACGGAGCGAGAACCCTGCCTGCCTTGTCAGGGCTGCCTCTCCAGTGCCTGGCACAGAGCAGGCGCTCAGCAAATACTTGTGGAATGAACAACATTTTTTTGCCTTTGCCTGCTTTGTTTTTCTCCATCACCACCCATCAGACTGTATGTTCCCCCTACTTACTTTGTCTCTTTCCCCAGACTATAATCAAAGCAAACTGCACGGGGCGAGAACCCTGCCTGCCTTGTCAGGGCTGCCTCTCCAGTGCCTGGCACAGAGCAGGCGCTCAGCAAATACTTGTGGAATGAACAACATTTTTTTGTGAAGTACCTCCCTGCGTTGAGTCAGCAGTGTCAGGAGGGATGGGCATGTAAAATAAGCATGACCCCTGGGAACTTGCCCGAGTGTGAGTCCCCGAGAGGAAGGGAAGCCACCCCAGTCGGGGTCCCTGAGGTCGCTGTGAAGACTAAGTTGGTGTATGGTTGCCTAGTGGGTGCTAAGAAAATGCTCATTCTTCCTTTCAGAAACATGACTTCTTGTCAATATTAGCATGCAGAAATTCAGTCATTCTCCGTAGTAGAGGTTACCACTTGGAATGGTAAAAAAACATGGTCATATAATAATAGGACAACTCATGCAGCTAATGTTTTAATGAGTAATGGAATATATAGTTCTCTCTTCAGAAGGAATGGTGTGGAAGCTTTGCAAATGGTGCACAAGCTTTTATCAAAAGGCTCTCTGGCATCTGAGCAGACACAAACCTCAGGACCCAGGCCAGGTTAAAAAACAACAACAACAAAAACAGTCAAGTTCATAAGAGTCGGAAGGCATAAGTTTTCATTTTAGCTTTTCTTTAGTAGGATTTTTTTTTTTTTTTGCTCTGAGTCAGTCTCAGCTGTTAAGTGCATTCATCTTTGAATTTTGTAATGAATCTTTTCTAATTTACTCTTTTATATTCATACTTATAATGTTTTACTTTTCAAAGGTATAAGTACATTAGATGTATAAAGTGGGTTCTTCCATTATAAAAAATTGTTTGACTTTATGTTCCTATCTGAAACTTTTGGATAAAGATGGTTTCTTGTAGTTTCATACATAAGGTTGAAGAACTTGAATAGCTGTGTCGTTTATTTGTTTGTTTGCTTTTGTTTTAAGTGATCATGAATTTAAGCACTGTTTTGTTCCTGAGCTATTGGAGTAGAAATTTAAGCTTTGGAGCCAGACACCTTTGGGTCAGACACTCTGGCACTTCTTAGTCATGTGACCTTGGGCAGTCCTTCAGTCTGTCTGCAGGATCATCCTAGCACCTCACTCCGCAGGCCTGTTGGGAGAGTTCAGTGATACAATGTGGGTAAACAAAGGGCCTGTCCACCACCACAGTGAGCACTGAAATAATAGCTGTTTTTATAATTAATAAATTGTAAAAAGTCCTTTGATGCTAAGTATCTATCTATAATAATAAAGGCGTAGTATGCAAATCAACCAAATGGCCTAACAGCAGAATGACCATCCGGACGACCATGCTATGACACGCACTGGCACCAGGCCATCCAAGGTGGGTGTAATGCGATTGGTCGGAGGGGGGGTGGGCGGGCTGCCATCACCCACAATTGCCCCGCAGAGGGAGGCCTAGGCCACGGGCCCGTGGGGCTATCAATCGGGGGGCTCCCTGATCATCCCAAAGAGGGAGGCCCAGGCGATCAATGGGGTGGGAGGGACGGGGGAGGGGGGTGTGGTGGCGGATGCAGGCAGTGCCAGGCCAAGGCGGGTGTTGGCAGGAGGTGGGGCCGAAAAGCCGGGGCTGCGAAGCCGGCAGCGGGGGGAAAGGAAGGCCTGCTCTTGCATGAATTTCGTGCATCAGGCCTCTAGTCTTGTTATAAACCTCATTCTGATTTTAGACATTTAAAATATGTCAATACTAGCAGAATATGAAAAAAAGAAAAGTGTGTAGCTTTGTAAGTACCTTACCTCCAACAACCAATTTTCCTAAGCATAAAATGCGAGCAAGCCACTTACTGTGAAAACTTATTTAAAAGCTTTGAGGTTTTACTTTTCGAAGTTGCTAACAGAGCTTAGGTAAGTCTTTTTATAATAGGTTCTGTAGGGAGATTAGTAAATTAGTGTTTAGTTTTCTTTTTCATAATGACTTTTAGATCCTGCTCACAGTTGTCACTGAACAATGCGAACACTGAACATTTTCTTCCTCCGAACTCGCCTAATTAGGTGAAACTTGACCCCCTCTGTGTCTCTGCTGTAACAGTGGTGGTCTGTCTTGTTGCGCTAGTATGTCTTATCATGGCTCATGTCATTAGGGCCTGAATTGAGATTCCACAGTGCCTCAGGGACATCTATTTAAGTATTTTTCCTTTGTAAATGGCACAGGTAATCTCCAGGCACTCAGACTTTTTGTTTTCCACACTTCAGTTTTGCTTAGTTTTCTAAAGATGAGAGACATTTTGGAAATGGTAACTCAGAGCATTATAAGCAAATTCAAAGTAGCATCTGGTTCTCAAGAGCTGATTCAAATCTGGAAAAAAAATGGACAGAGTCATTTGTAAAAAGGCAAGGGCTCTATTGGACTTTTCCTTTGTAAATTGCATTCTCATTAAAATTTTTTATTGATTGATTTTTTTTCGAGAGACAGACATGGATTTTGTTGTTCCACTTCTTTATGCATTAATTGGCTTATTCTTACATGTGCCCTGACAGCGAGTGGGACCTACATCTGTGGCCTATCGTGATGACACTCTAACCCAGCGGTCACCACCCTTTCAGATCTCACGGACCACCGCTGCTCTAACCAACTGAGCTACCCGGCCAGGGCTGCATTCTGATTCTGTATCAGACAAATAGTGTCTACTGTGGTGGCTCTGTAGACATGATTACATTAAGGCAGTGATTTTTCAGCTGGTGTGCTGCAGAAATTTTAAAACATGCGATATCTGGCTCTCCCTCCCCGAGCACATCCAAGCCTTTCCCGTCCCCTCCCCTTCCTCCTCCTCCCCCAGGCCAGTCACCTTCACCTTCCTCACTCCCAAGCTCCTAAGGCCCTTCCTTCCTCCATAACTTGTTTCCTCAGCCCATTTCTCCTACAAATTACTTTTTCCTCCTCTGTGATTTTCCAAATAAATGCCCTCTTATTAAAAACAAAACCAAAAAAACATGCAATACCTGACCTCTCTTCCCTTAGATTGTCAAATAAAAAATGACAGCAGCCAACACAATAGTTGTCCAGTGTGAATGAATCAAAATTATACCCTTTTTTGGGTCAGAATCCAAAAATATATTTGTTGGTGTGCCGAAGGATTTTAGTAATTAGTTTGTGTGTGCCATGAGATGAAAAAGGTGGAAAATCGCTGCATTAAGGTGTTCTTTCAGGGGCTTAATAATGCTAATTATCTGTGTTGTTTTAAGCCTTGTTTCTTGCTGGGAAAAGGATTAGTGATCAACTTTGGGAATTAATAGACATGATTAAGCCAAGATTTGTACAGCTATAAATGTTTTATTACTTGAGGAAAGAAAAATGTATACAAAAGAAACTATATGTTTATTCAAAGTTGTTTTTATTGGGAAAAATACTTTACTGATTATATAGGTTGAATAATTAGCATAGCTAGATTTTTTTTAAAACAACAACTTTAGCCCTAGCCAGTTTGTCTCAGTGGATAGTGTTGGCCTGCAGGCCAAAGGGTCCCAGATGCGATTCTGGTCAAGGGCACGTACCTTGATTGCAGGCTTCAATATTCTGCTCTGTCTTTCCCTCTCTCTTCTACTCTCCCTAAAAATCAATGGAAAAATATCTTCGGGTGAGGATTCACAAAAAAATAAAATAAAAATAAAATAGCTTTATTGGTCTATGATTCAGCCTCTGGAAACCACTATCTACTCTCTTTCTCGGTGGGTTTGCCTCATCTCAGCTTCTCATGTAGATGGAATTACACAACATGTGACCTTTTGTATCTGGCTTCTTTCACTCGGCATAATGGTTTTTAGGTTCATTCATGTTGTAGCATTTACTTCATTCCTTTTTATGAGAAGTAATATTTCATTGTATCGATAGACATACCACATATCATTGCATAGATAGATATAGATGAATTATCCATCAGTTTGTGCTATTTCCACTTTTGGGTTATTATGAATAATGCCTCTATAAACCTTTGTGTTCAGGTTTTTGTGTGGATATGTTTTAGTTCTCGTGGGTATGTACCTAGGAGTAGATATGTTTTTTAGATACATATAGGAATATATGATCTTGAATTTTACAGAGAAATATGTAGAAAGAGGAAGTCTTATTCTGAGAATTATTGGAACACCTAAGTTAAATTTTTTAAAGGTCAAGAAAATTTAATTATAGGTCATTTATATAGTTTTATGAGATAACCTTTATGGTTGATTATTTAGAAGAATGCATGATTCTTTGTTCTGGTGCCCTTGTATAATGAATAATGTTGCATTTCAGATAGTTTCAACTATAAAAACTAGATAAAACAATTTGTTGAGAGGTTATTAAATAATGGGGAGTATATTGCAAGTAGGAAAGTATTTATTAAGACTTTTGCTATCGTTCCTTTTTTATTTTGAAGCAGTTTGAAGTAGGGGTTCAGCCGTAGCTTTGGAGTCAGACCAGGGTTAAGTACTGCTCACGTTTATTGTTGGCTCCGTGACTTGGAGCAAGTTATTGAACTTGTCCTCCTTTCCCTGAGCTGCAGGACGAAGGTGGTGCTTATCTCATAGAGTTGGTGTGAATTGAGAAGGTGCGACGTAGGCATCTCAGTGCCTAATGATGGGCACTGTGATGTGTCCCCCCCCAAAGCATGATTCCTCATTTAGTCCTGGTGGGTTTAATGAGGCCCCGAGAGCAGTATTTTTCAAACTGCTTGAAACATGGCCCACATGAGGAAACACCTTTACAGAGTGACTCAGGCATACACATATCCACACACACATCTCTATGCAATGATAAACAGGATGGGCAAAAATAGGTTTATTCTTGTATTATTAATTATTGTATGATTTATTTGTATCATAACTGTAAACCTACTTTTCCCCAACCTGTACAGAGTCAGACTTTCAAGAGAGAACTTTTGCCATGTGTGATGGACTGTTTTATTTTTACTTTAAATTAATAGACTATTTTTTAGAGCAGTTTTAGGTTTACACAAAAATTGAGTCTTGACCATTTCCCCTATTATTAACATCTTGAGATAGTGCGGTACATTTGTTGCAGTTGATAAACTAATGTTGATACATCTATACATATAAAAGCCCAGTGACTGAATGGCGGAACGACCAGAACGACTGGTCGACCAGTCACTATGACGTGCACTGACCATCAGGGGGCAGACGCTCAATGCAGGAGCTGCCCTCTGGTGGTCAGTGTGCTCCCACAGTGGGAGCACCGCTCAGCTGACCGGGATGAGCTGCAGTCCCAGAGTAGGCAATCCCTGCAGGCCATGCCACCCACCAGTGCACGAATCTGTGCACCAGGCCTCTAGTCTATCTATATATATATATAAAAAAGTCTAATATGCAAAGTGTCCCCTCGGGAGTTTGACCGGGAGACCAAGAGTTCGATCGCTTGTTATGGTGTGTGCTGACCACCAGGAATGACGTGCACTGAACACCACAGATAATTAGCAAAATTAAGCCCCTGAAAGAACACCTTAATGCAGCGATTTTCCACCTTTTTCATCTCATGGCACACACAAACTAATTACTAAAATCCTGCGGCACACCAACAAATATATTTTTGGATTCTGACCCAAAAAAGGGTATAATTTTAACTGTCTCTGTCCTCACAGACGAGACATGGTTAAATATGCACTCCTACAGTGCTCATATATGACCACTGTTCTCCAAGGGCCAGTTCTACTTCTTTGCCAAAATAACACAAATTCCAGTTATGGAAACGGAGCTTAACATGATCTAACCTGCACCTCTATTTTCTTCAGAGGTCATTCTTTTCCCCCAAAATTTAGAGGGGGGGGGGGTGGGAGGGGGAGGGGGGGCTCAACCGATACCCTGCAGCGCCACCTTGTGGAAAGAGGGAAGGCTGTAACAGGCATGGCCATGACACCTGGGTGTGAGTGAATCCTGCCAAACATCACAAAGGTGTATGCCGGCGCCTGATGTTTACGTAACATTTTTTTGGATGATGCAAAAATAGGGTTATTTGTACACACTGCAGTGGAGAGCAGTCTTCTGTCAAGTGGAGATCAAGATGCTAAGCAGCTGATCTTGGCACCTACTCCGATGGGAAGACTTGCTTTGTAGGTCTGCTTACCTGACGCGTCCGCAGGCTTCAAGGCGTCTCCCCCTGCGGGGCCTGGTTTCTGATCGCTCACGATAGCCTCGCTGGATTGCGGTGGCCTGTGCTTTCCTCCTGTTCCTCCAGGAACTTCCCCAGGAAGCACACGAAACCATATTCTTTGTTGGCAGGAGCTTGGTTAACTGGTCTCCCAATTCCAGAGCAGACCCCAGGCTTGTCTGCCGGCTCCCCGTTATCTCAGCCTCTTAAACACCGGGAGGCGGATTCCAACTCCCACACTTTCT